ATCACCAAGAGGTACTGAAACACCAACGTCAGGGTTACATCAAAGAATGGCATTGTAGCTCACAGCGGTCGTTCCAGTGACTCTCCACGTTCCAGTATGTGTGTATGTCATCTGGGTTGTCCTCCTTGGTGCAGCTGACCTCAACCTGTTTAAAGCCCCAGTGAGGTAGGGCTGCATTCGCAGCGTACAGATAGCATCCTAGAGCCTGGTGTTTGAACCTCAATCTCGTTGTGAGTGAATGGATTTTCGTCACGTGCTCCCTGGGGCCCTGCTTGATATCATCGACGACCTCGACGACCCAGTAGTCGTGGAAATCCCCAACGGTCGAGTTACCATAGCCAGAGACTTCGTTGTTGAGCTTCGTCACGGGTGCTACCACTGTGTGCGAGTGCAAGTGTCGTGTTGTCGGTACATGCTGCAAGCGAATAACGTCACCATCCTGGAGGAACTGCAACTCGCCGTTTGGATTGTATTCAGGCGCTTCCCAAGTGGGAAGGATAGTCCAATGGTTGTTATCATCTTTGTAGTGATAGCAAGTAACCTGCTGCTGGCCTGAACCAACGGGATAGGTTTGAACGTGGGAGTGCAGGAGACCTCCGCCCCAGCCCATGCCTTTCAAGGTAATTTTTGAGCCAAACGCAATTTCTGGGTATCTTGTCAATGGTACTATTCCAATATACGCAAGGAATCGAACAAACCCCGTGGGTTCTTGCCAAAATCATTACCGACCAATTGGGCTTGGAATAGCGAACTCATCGTAGAGTCGCCAGGACCCGAATGGTTTAGGATCATGAAATGCAGCTTGAAGGATAACATATACACCAGGATCGGGAGGATAATTAGGCAGAGCACGCGAGCTGCCCAGTGTCGAATTTGATCTCGCTGTTGAAGGTATCAGCTTATAGGAGCAACTTCACAAAAAGTGGCCAGGCTGACATTGGTCATGCGAAGATCGCCAAATTTCTCCCAAAGATCTTCGATGGTGTACAAGCCAACCACAGCAGTCACGAATAATCCAATCCATTTCACACTAGGATAGGTTAACGAAAAAGCAATTCGGAAGGAAAGAAGGGGGCAGACCTGGTCACACAGCCGATGGAAATACCTGTGAATACAAGCCACATCCACCAATCGAAAGAGAATGACCTGTTGGAAGCTTCAGCATTAAGCCGCATGTAATGGTGGGTCTAACACATACTGATATTGTTGGTTGTGAAATTTGGTGAGCAAAAAAACCGTTGTGAAAGTGAAAAACAGGAGCATGGAATCCAGTAGAATGAACCGCGATATAGCCAACCAGGCAACATCTGCAGCCAGAACATGAAGCAAACGACGTTTATTTTCGGACCTGACACTCACCGCACAAAACCATGAGCGCAACCAGATGACAACACCATGAGCTCATTCCCAATTCGACTGCAGTATACCACCCTAACGGAACCAAGGCCACACCGAATGTCGCCATCATAACCCGCATGGCCACGTACGGGACACTTTCATCGTACACCACTCCGCTTTTAAATTCGAAGTTTCCGTTGTAACCCGACAGTAAACCTGCAAGGCCGACGAGCATCTTGCCGAGCGGAGGGTGGACATCGAAGTAAAACTCGCGTTTGAGGTAATGGGACCCGAATTTGCCAAAGTGCGCTTCGTCCCAAACAACAGTGTTGGCACGACCTATTTTGTGGAAGCGGGTCCAACATGAGAGCAGAGTGTAGATGACAGGTGGGAGATGCTCTAAGTTCTGAGATATGAATTCACTCTGGGCGAACGCTCAGAGTCAGGATGGGCAGCAGGCCTCAACAGCGAGAGGTACGTACTATCGAAGTTGGAGGCGGAGGAGGAGGCCTGTGGACACGCCCGCTGCTGACTCGGCTCCTGGCAGGACTTGGTTTTGAGTATACATCCTTTCCGTCGTCGTCGTAGTGCATTTCACTTTCATGCTCATCACCGCTCATAAACCCACCGCTGCTTCCGGGTCCTCTAGCTACCCTCCGCCTTGTGGATGTATCCTCGTTCATGTGATGCAATGGCAATGATTCCTCGTGTTTGTAGCTGTGAGCGGTTTTAAAGTAAGATGGATGCGTGACAGGATATGGAATTTCTTCAAATTCAGAAGACGTGCGTGGAGGCGTTCCGGGCGGTGTACCAAAGTCTATTTGGACTTGAGAGGGTCTCATTTGCCCTCTTCTTGCGTTATTGTTTTTCGACCGAACAAGCCCTACGGAGCTTTGGGAAGTTGATGAGTCTCGCGGGAGTGATGAGCTGGCCCTTGTCGCAACCTTACATGATACCAACCAGCCGGTATTGGATCGAAGCACTGCCTATTGATGTGACACGTTTCAAATATTCACAAAAGCTTGTACGTCCACATCGTTCAGATACAGAGGTTTCCAATAATTAGATAAAAGCACAAATTTGTGTCGAGGATATGAGCACAAATACTTTTTTACGACAAACGATGATACCAGCTAACAAGATGATTCAAAGCAGGCAGCAAGTGCATGTACATTTTATATGTGTCGTTGGTATTGAGCTATATGATCAAGCAATGTCAGGCACAAATAGCAACTAAAAAGATGGGGAAACTACTAACCAGCAACCATAGCATGGTCACGTTCATACGGCTCGAGGGTAATTTGTTCAATAGGTTTGAACTTGTTTTCTCGTAGTTTTTGTACTTCCTGCACGAAAACAGCGGAAGGCGCTGCTGTTGAATCTATACAACTAGCTTTGATAGAGATGACCACATGACCACCATCTTTGAGGAAGAACTGCGCATTGTGGATAACAATACGTGCTTGATCGGGCTGTGCAACGTCTGCGAATATGACGTCTACAGTTGACACCAGCATGCGGTACCTGTTAGGAAGGCGGGCGTCCTCCACGATGGCTATAGTAAATGTTGTTCTCTTCAGCTGTAGCCTACAGTTTGGAAGTACTCACGAATGACGTTTGTTCGCTTTTTCGCCATGTTGATCAGATCACGCCCTGATCGTGGCGAAAATTCGACAGCATAAACGACACCTTCCTATAACCATGTTTAAACACCAGTATTGTTAGAAAATGAAGAACGCGACTCACAGGACCAACAATATCTGCTACGTGACTTACACTCGTGCCGCTGGCAGCACCGAGGTATAGAACCTTCTTTCCAGGTTCAATGAAAATTTTATCCATACCGCCCAATACACCTGCTGCCAACTTACTCCGGAAAGGGTTCCATACGCGATACTCGATTTTTGTGTCGTCGACACCACCTTCAATGGATATCCGCTTCTCACCATAGACACTTTCTCCTGGGACAAGGTTCTTCGTGACAAGTAGATGGTCTTTCCCCTTGGCGATGAAGACACCTGGATGTCTATGAGGTTCGAGAATAACCTTCGCACCACCCCTGGCTCCACCACCAGGGCCTCCACGGCCACGGCCACGACCTCCGCCCCGACCACCTCCGCCCCGACCGCCGCGATCGCCACCTCGCCCACCACGACTTTGGAAGCCTCCACCACGACCACCGCCTGAAAATTGGTTCAAACAGGTATGATATAAAGTGAAACATGAACGTACCACGGCCGCCTCCTCTGCCTCCTCTACCTTCTCCACCTCCTCCACCTCCTCCACGTCCACCACCAGCTCCCCCGCGTCCTCCTCCTCCTCTACCAAATCCACCACGATTTCCTGATGCTCCTGCGAGTCATAGATTAGACGAATAATACTTTTATAGACAGCATAAAAGATATTAACATACCAAATGCCATTACAAGTTGTGCAAATGATCTTGCAGTTGCCTCGCAGTGGTCTTCAAAATTTTCAGCAAACCTTGGTTCGTGCCTGATTGTACATACTGTGACATTTTGTCACCCTCGTGTCACGCTCCAGCAACTGCTTCAAGCTTTCAAGCCTCGAGCCACAATCTCTCAGTTGATAAATGGACAACGTTCTTATCACTCAACCAGAATTCTGGAATAGGTAAATCAAGAGTTTTGACCCAGTGCATCTAAATCTGCGACATTCTGAATTAATAACGGAATATCATAGCGTCTGCGTTTCTGGTCTGGTTACTGACGCGGCCCTCGGCTCTCAACCAGAACCATTTCACCGACTTTCTTATGTGGGAGTGGATAATACAGTCGTCCCACACCAAATTACCCCTCACAGGATAAGCCTGAGGTGGCAATCTGCTGGCGTTGCAGATATCTTCTGTTTAAATGGGGATTTCGTAGGTTCTAATCGTCATGAAGAACGATTGCAGCACATAAAAGCAAGGCGTCCGGTTTCCTGCTATCCTCAGATTTGTTTCATCCCATAGATATCACCTACTCACAAACAATGCGTTTCCCATTTGTCCTCGCTATTGTTGCTACTTTGGCAGTATCAATATCTGCCAGGCCTACTGATGCCGACGCCGACGCCGACGCCAACATTGGAGTATGTCCCCTCTTTTGCATACGTCAATCAAATTGCAGGCACTGCCCTGATAAAAACTGCGTGAGTATGAGTAGTTTGCATCCTGAATTTAACCACATAACTCACCGGTGAGGTAGATCATCTATATATGTTTCTAGTGCGACAGTGAGTCGTGGTTCTACTTTCACATCGTTGCGGTATGGTTGATGGTACCGTGTGCGAGTTAGGAGTTTGTTGCTCGGTTGATTGACGGGACTGCTTCTAAACAAATTTTACTGCCGGTCAAGCATTCGATAGAGGCCTCGTTTCAGAATGCTGTATTTGTCACTTAGATGATGTATAGCTTAAAATGAGACAAATGCTAAAAACCATGTCGAAAGTGCCGGACAATATATTACATCTCTGGTCTTCATTTTATCAGACAGATAAAACTAAAAAGCTCGAACCTGGGCCCACCTTCCATGGTCAACAAATTATTACAATTGACATGGAGCGTTGGTGGTGCCCGGCACCACCCATAAATTATTCACTTCATTTGTGCCATTCTAGAGCACATTGGTAATACTATATTCGCCTCACTGAACTATCGTTCAAAACTTGCCCCATAGCCGTCCAAGATGGAGATACCGCGCCACAAGTAGCAATACAACACCAAATATAATGATGCCACCTGAGCAAGGTCAATGTCCACTCAAGGATCGCGCGTCATAAACTTACCTGAATAATAACCCGCGGCGGCGAAACCCCCGGTCGTGGTACTGATAGCGCCTGATATCGGAGGACCTGCAATGCCTCCAAAGGCAAGGAGGGACACGAACATTCCCACTCGACGTCCCGCGTCTTCCATATGTCCCATTGCTACAAGAGGTGCAGAGTAGAGAGATACGTATGCTCCGAGGGAGAAACTGGACGAGTGAGTCGAGCAGCTAGTTGTGAATAAGTGCGACACGTACCCATAAATGACGGCAATTGCAATAAGCTGGGATTCATTTTTAGCAAATGGCCAAGCGATTGTCGCAATTCCCGTCACAGTAGTCAAAATTGCCATGGTGTTGATAGCACCTGTCAAATCATCAACTGATGTTATCACAGTCCGCAGCTATCGAGACCTACCGACTCTATCTGACATCAGCCCAAATGATACACGCAATGCAGATGCTGCATTGGCGATCGCGAGTATATAAAATGAAAAATCTGTTGAGACGCCAATTGCTGTAGCGCTCACAGAGAGATATATTAACTCTGATGGAACCAAAATATTAGGAACCACTATGATAAGCACAACGGTCATACCTGTATAAAGACCTAAAAGTATCATAATTCCCGAGATACAATAGACGGTAAATGCCTTGTTGCGGAATGCTTTAAGATTGAAGAGTCCCCCACGAACGTTGACGGGCGGGAGTCGTCGTTTCAGTAACTTGAAGGAGATGCGTCAAAGGAAGAGGCATCTACAGGTGCTGACAACATACTACATTGGCTGTCCCCAGGGTAGCCATCAAAATGAATCCAAACACCCGAACTGTCCATTTAAACCTGTGATTGTATGAGCGTATATGAATTGTTCTTCAATTAATCGAACAGACTCACCCAATTAATGGAATCAAATTTTGTGCCACCACAGGAAACACGATGCTGCCAAGCGCAGTCCCAACGGTGGTGAGCGACAAAGCCAAGCCACGTCTCTTGGAGAACCAATGTGACACGATGACGACTGCGGGACTAAATAGGAAACCGCAGCTCACTCCCAGACCGACACCCTGTGTCAGGAAGAGCTGCCAAAATTTAGTGCATTCCGCGGTTAGGAAGGTGCACGCGACGAGGACGCAGCTAGCGGTGAAGAAGGGTATTTTGAAATATCCCAGGTCAAACATTCGCCCCGTTGCAAGCGAAGGAAGGCACATGAACGCATACTAGCAGGATAAGTGAGTTACGCAGGTTTATCGGACCAAGAAGTAAACATACCTGCGTAGAACCGATCCATGCTCTGGGTGAAATCAGCCATGCAAGGTTGCAACTAAACGAACCTAGCGCCTTACATAGTTGAAGGAGAAGTGTGGAGTAGTAGATTTTCCTCATAATAGGCTTGGAAGATCTGAAGGTAGAAAATTTTAGAAATTGTGAGTGTGTAATGGTACACCTTACTCACACCCCATGAAAGTAAAAAACCAAGCCTGATTGAGCCTGATTGAGCCAAACCATGGAAGAATTAGGAGCAGCTCACGTAGAGAACATAACCAATCCGGCGCTGCAATGCAAAGACGTCAGTGACTGTTCAATGGATTGGAAGTGTACTCGCGCAAAAACCACAAGCCATGCCCTTAATCCTCCATCTGGTGCTTCACCAAGATGTGTTACGTGCTTCTGAGAAAGTTGTTCATCCAGGATTTCCGGCTCAACAGCCTCTCTTGTCTTCTGCCCATCGTACGATAAGACTTCGGACGCAGAGTCAATGCCCTGCAAGACCTCTATACTTAGTGACTTCTCGGACATGGCTTCTCCTGCCAACTTTACGCAGAGAAGATGTCAGACACAGCGAAGAGTAGGAGGGAAGGAGCAACTGAACTGGTAGGTGAAAACCATGCTGCCAACGTTATTTGCATATAGTACTCTCCGGGACACCTGGATCCTCCCTATAGCTATTTTCAAAACCTTGAGGGGCCGCATCGGGACTAGTACCGTGTATTACATTCTCATTTGATGAAGCCACGCATACAATGACAAAAAAAATGACATTACATTTGCTGGCCTTCGCTGGTCAAGGTAAGGAATCGAGCCGATTGGCAGGCAGGCCCACTATATATAGCCTGTGCTTTGCCAATGAAACTGCCATCAGTGACGATTCGAAGGCTCAGAGACCTGATAGTATGATACCCTTGACTGATTAGTCTCGTAGTGAAAGATCGTGTTGGCAGTTTCACCTCTTTCAAAAACTTTATATGATACCCGCACGACTTCAAGTGCGTGCTAAATCGTCATATATCGCATTCAAGTTTCAAGGGTGAGGCATTGGGCCCTCAAGGCCTCATGACTTATGCCAGGAAGGCCAGCAAATTTGAATCCAATTACTATTTTTGTTTGCAATAGGTACGTTAAAAGTTGGGCGCACACGCACACCGCACACGCACCGTACAACCCAAGACGCCACCTGAAATGTAGTTTGCATAATTAGATATGAAAATCAAACTTTGAAAAGGTTAACAATTGATTCTCACCTACTACTCGCCGTGACTCGTCATTGTGATCCGTGCATATGGGGAAGAAGATATTGGCGTCACGATCCCGGAGATTGTCTGGACCGACGACTTGGTCTGGGAGCTTTTGGCGCAGATTGAGCTACCAGAGAACAGAGTCGTGCTTGTAATAGGCAAGCGGAAGAAAGGCGAGTTAAGCGAGTCAAAATTAAAACCATAAGCAAGAGATACGAGTGCAGGTATTGCTGGCGTGATGTTCGGAGACGGGCCATCGAGTTTGATGTGTTTTCAGTAGGTCGTACCAACAGCTATCATTGATTTATCAAGTACAAGACAGGCAGTGGTGTATGTGCGAGGGGGGTCGTGTGCGGTGTGCGTGTGCGCCCAACTTTGAACGTACCCAATCTACCATGGCATGAGCGTCATGCCGAGCGACGCACAGGGCATCGGCCATAGAGGCAGTGAGACCGGCTCACAAACAAAGGCAATATTCGGGCAGGCCCGAGGAATAAAACTGCTGAGCCTCGAGCACGTTCGTCCAATTACCCTTGTGTAAATAAAGTTAAACTCGACACAAAAAGCCAAGCTTACGTAACTGACTCGTGATCTTTGTATGTAGACTAATTGTATTAGTCATCAAACGTCAGCTATTCTCCTAGATATGGGAATATCACGACTCAGATACAACAGGCACAAAAGGTACTACTATGTAGCAGCTCCAGAGCACCAAACTGTATTGCATCGATTGGTCTCTCTATCTCCAGGTCATTGAGCGGATCGATCGACGGCATTGTACGGCCATTGTCTCCGCGTCGAATAATCACACTGCCCGAAAGTGGCGGTCGATTGAAAGGAAGGTGCTCGTTTTTTTTCCAGGGTCATGCCAATATCGTCAACTCCCTTGGTCTTTCGCCTGATGGAAGCCATCTTGTTAGCACAGCACTTGACTACTCAGTTCGCATCTGGAACCTTAAGAACAATCAGCCAGTCGGAGACCCGCCCTTGCATGACGGCGAACTCTGGACTGTCCCCGATGGAAAATACATTGCCAGTCCTAGAAATTACATATGGAGCATGGAAGCAGCGCTCAAACAGCAGGGTGTGTGTATCTGCATTGTGTCAATGTCTTTCCTATTTTTGGTTGTTGTTTAGGGTACAGATGATGTTAATGCAAAGCCCGACGGGAAGTTCAAAGCAAGTTAGTCCTGCATCTCGTTCACACTTGATCACACTTCTTTAACTAGGGACGTACAGTTTGACCGATAGATGCTGTGCGTCAATCGGGTTTCAACACCCTACTCCTTTTACTTATTCGTCTTGTTAGATCTTCAAGCAGCGGCCCGTCAACAGAGGCTTGGCGAGATATGTCAGTGCAGTTTTTCATTCCGGAGCTCTTGCAAGTCTGACAAGTGGTACAGGGCAATGACCTAAGAAAAACTTTATAGATAAGTGTCCATAAAACCAAGCTAGCTACCAAAGGCGGCCTCCAGGAACTTGCCATGTTCGAGTCTGGATGGACATATTCCAGCCCAGTCGGCTGTTCCTGTCATAAAGGTCACATCGAAAGAAACGCGAAGTACCGGACAGTGTACATCACTCACGTCGCTTTCGTCAACCAATCAGACGGGCAAGATTGAGTAAGAAAGGGTCACCTTACACAAGAAAAGTCCAGGTTTCTGCCCAGTTTTAATGTAGTACAAATCAAATTGTTACGTTAGTCTGTAACGAAAGTGACCAATGCTCGCCACGCTTAAATCATTTCACATCCACTGCTTCAAGAACACATCGACTCGACACTAAATTCACCTCACGGAACGATCATTCAAAATTTGCCCCATAGCCGTCCGAGGTGAAGGTACTGCGCCACGAGTAGCAATACGACACCAAATATAATGCTGCCACCTGCGAAATGTCAATATTCACTCAAAGATCGCGGGTGTCATAAACCTACCTGCATAATAACCCGTATCAACGAAGCCTCCTGTCGCGGTACAAATCGCACCTGATATTGGAGGACCTGCAATGCCTCCAAAACCAATGAGGGACATGAACATCCCCACTCGACGCCCTGCGTCTTCCATTCTCCCCATTGCCACGGCAGGTGCAGAGTACAGAGATATATATGCTCCGATGGAGAACCTGGATGGGTCAGTCAATTGTGCACCTGGCAGCGAAAAAGTGCAATACATACCCGTGAATGATGGCTATTGCAATAAGCTGGGATTCGTCTTTAGCAAACGGCCAGGCGACTGTCGTGATTCCTGTAATAGCCGTGTAAATTACCATGGTGTTGAGTGCGCCTGTCAAATATAAACTGATATTCGTATAGCCCACAGCTGTCAAGACCTACCGATTTTATCTCCCAACAGTCCAGATGACAGACGTCCAAACGCAGATGCCGCATTGGCGATCGCAATTATATAAAAAGAAAAATCTTTCGAGACGCCAATTGTTTCGGCGCTCACAGAGATATATGTTAACTCTGATGAACCAAAATATCAGGAGCCATAATAATAAAGCACAATGGTATTACCTGTATAGAGACCTAAAAGTATCATGATTCCTGAAACGCAATAGATGGAATATGCTTTGTTGCGAAATGTTTTGAGATTGAAGAGTCCCCCGCGAACTTTAGTGGGCGGAAGCCGCCGTTTAAGAAACTGAGGAAAATGCGTCAGTCGCAGAGATGTTCTCAGGTGCTAACGACATACTATGTTTGCCATCCCCATTGTAGCCATTAGCATGAATCCAAATACACGAACTGTCCATCTAAACCTGAAAGTGTTGTGAGCATACATGGATTGCCCCATGATCGATTAAATAAACTCGCCCAATTAACGGAATCAAATTTTGTGCCGCTACAGGAAACAAGATGCTGCCGAACGCAGCCCCAACGGCGGTGGCGGACAAAGCAAGGCCACGTCTCTTGGAGAACCATTGTGACACGATGACGATTGCGGGACTAAACAGGAAACCGCAGCCCGCTCCCAGACCGACACCCTGTGTCAGGAAGAGCTGCCAGAATTGAGTGCATTCTGCAGTTAGGAAAGTGCACACCACGAGGACGCAGCTAGCGGCGAAGAACGGTATTTTGAAATATCCCAGGTCGAACATTCGCCCTGTTACAAGAGCCGGAAGGTATGTGAGTGCATACTAGTAGCACAAATGAGCTTAGTAGGCTTGCTAGAACCAGAATTAGACACGCCTGCGTAGAACCAATCCATGCTCTGGAGAGTGTAAGAGGTCATTTGTCTAACATTGCATCAAACAGGCCTAGCACCTTACATAGTTGAAGGTGGAGTGTGAAGCAGTAGATTTTCCTGGTAGTACGCTTGGAAGATCTGAAAGGGCGGAATTTGTAGGAACTGCGAGTGTATCGTGACAAACCTTGCTTACACCCCATGAATTTAAAAAACCAAACCTAGTATAATTTCTTGAGTCGAGCTAGTAGAGGAATGAATTAGGAGCAGCTTACGTAGAGAATGTAACCAATGCAGTACTATAATCCAAAGACGTCAGTGGCTATTTCGATCAAATGAATTTGCACTTGCGCAAAGACCGCAAGCCATGCCCTTATTCCTCCATCTGGTGCTTCACTAAGACGGGTTTGAAGTTCGTGGTCGAAGCCTGCTTCTGTCTTCTGCTTATCGTAAGGCAATGTATGTTTGCTTTCAGACGCAGAGTCAATGCCCTGCAATGACTCTATAGTTGGTAACTTTTCCGAGTCGGACATAGCACCGTTTTTCTGTCAATATGGAGAGAAGTGAACAGGATCAACAGACAGCCAGTGGCAGAAAGAGTAACTGTACTAGTGTGTGCAAATCATGCTGCCGAGGTTATGTACATATAGTATTATCCGCGACGTGTGACACAGAACTCCTTCACAAGGCCATTTGCGGTGTTTTGAGTGGCACAAGACGTCTCACACCGTTCGTGAAGCGTCATCTGATGATGCCACGATTACAAGGAGCAAAATATGCAATTGGACTTGCTAGCGTTCGCTGGTCCCCGGAGGTGAGGGATCAATTGATCAAGCCAGATCACAGGCAGACTCGCTGCATAAACCTATTGCAGATTCAACTTTTTAGTGAAAATTGGTAGAATAAACACCTACGACCTCAACTTTTAGTTGCTTCTTGAAGTGCGCGCTATTAGCGTCGGTCTCCGCATGAACGCTACTTGCCATGGCATGTACGCGTAAATATTTAAAAATTTGGGGTATTTTCTAGCGGTGTCATGATTGAACCACCAGAAACAACAAAGCATGTGGAACGGAGATGATTTGGAAATTTGAGCTCACTGACGTCATGTGCTTTGTGATCCTGAATACTACCGGATCCCAGGACCCAGGGTCTAACCCGACCACCACAATACGAACAAACACCAAATAAACAAACCCTACTCATCCCGCCTCTCGTGTCTCGTTTAAGCAATTACGGGGTACGCTGTCCATTTCTAGTATCTACATGTCCTACAGGTAAGTTTCTCTCTCCATTTCTTCCTGTCGCTGTCTCACATGGTGCTTGCGCAGCTATTGAGTGCGGACTAGGGAGGCAATTTATGGTGCGTCTAAGTAGCAGCTTGTGGAAAACAGCGAGCTTAATACATGATTTTAACAGATATGTAGTGCGTGAGAACAATGTGATGGCGCAGGTCGGGGCCCGGGGGTCGGACTCATAGGGTCGATCGGATACCCTGGGTCCTACTAGGGATCGATATGGAGTCTTCGGTCAGGAATGCCAACGGTCATCGGTTTGCAAATAGCTCAATAATGCTATACTACATAACATTGGCAGAATGGACCAGTACATTCCCCCACTCTTATTTTGTCCTGATCTTCAAAGCTATTATGTCTGAGGAGTCCGCAAGCAAATCAAAGGACACCGCATTTGTTCCTGAAGCCTTACCTTGGAAATCGAGAGCAGCTGTTCCAGCCGACCAGGAAGCCCTGCAGCATGAAGAAGTTTCTGAGAAGCCTGTAACGCACATTGCTGGAACACCAGATGGAGGATTGACCGCGTGGCTGGTCATTGTTGCGTCAGTACTGGCCTACGATTAATTCTTTGAAATAGTCACTGACATCTTCAAATTACAGTGTCAACTTGACTTTATTCTCTACGTGAGCTGTCTCAATTTTCTCCTCCCCCCAGCTTAGCTCAAGTGATCACCAGGTTCGGTATAGCTAATACATGGGGGGTAAGTAAGGTTTGTCACCACATACTCGCAATTCCTGCAATTTCCCCCCTTTCAGGTCTTTCAAGCGTATTACGAGGAAAATCTACTACGTCAGACTTCTCCTTCAAACATGTACGGCGTTAGTCGGTTTGACGTGACCTTGTAACTGATCTATCGTACATTTTTTACTCTCCAGAGCATGGATCGGTTCTGCGCAGGTAAATCTCTTTCCAGGTCCAGTAAACTTGTGTCGCTCACGTGTCCTTCTAGTACGCGCTCATATACTTACCAGCACTTGCGACAGGACGAATGTTTGACCAAGGATACTTCAGAATACCCTTCTTGGCCGCTAGCTGTGTTATCGTCACATCCGTCTTCCTAACTGCGGAATGCACTCAATTTTGGCAGTTCTTTCTTGTACAAGGTTTCAGTCTGGGAGTCTGCTGCGGTATCATAGTTGGACCGGCACTTGTTGTCATCTCGCATTGGTTCGACAGGAAACGTGGTCTCGCTATGTCATTCGCCGCCATTGGCGCTTCGTCTGGCAGTACTGTGTTTCCTGCAGCAGCACAGAAATTAATTCCATCAATTGGGTCCGGTCGACTGATCATCAATGATTCATGCTCGCTCATAAAAATTTAGATTTCAATGGACAATGCGTGTATTTGGATTCATTCTACTTGCTACACTTGGGATGGCCAATATAGTATGTCCTCATCACCTGTAGATGCCCCTCTCTCTGTCCCTCTCTGAAGCATGTTTCCAAGTTACTGAAACGACGTCTTCCACCCGTCAATGTTAGTGGGGGACTCTTTAATATTAAAGCATTTCGCAACACAGCATATACCATTTATTGCATTTCAGGAATGCTGGGATTTTTAGGACTCTACACAGGTACTGTCGTAACAGTTACCACCGTGGCTTCCTCGTATTCTGAATCGATTCATCAGAGCTAACATATATCTCTGTGAGTGCCATAGCAATTGGCGTCTCCAAAAACTTTGCATTCTATATAATCGCGATTGCCAATGGAGCATCTACATTTGGACGTCTGTCATCTGGACTAATGGCAGATAAAATTGGTAAGTCTCCATGATGGCTGTGGATGGTAACACCAGTTAATTCCTGACAGGCGTACTCAATACTATGGCGGTTTTTACCGCGATGGCAGGCATCACGACATTTGCTTGGCCATTTGCTACAAATGAATCCCAGGTTATTGCAATAGCCGCCATCTACGGGTATGTGTGGACCGTGTTCGTTACTAGCTGCCAACTCACCCAATCTAGATTCTCCTCGGGAGGATTCCTAGCTCTCTTCGCTTTAGCTGCCGTGGCATTGGGAGATATAGAGGATGCGGGCCGCCGAGTGGGGATGTTCATGTCCCTTGCTGCTTTTGGAGCCATTGCAGGTCCTCCGATATCAGGGGCCATCAGTACCGCATCAGGGGGGTTTGTTGACGCGGGTTTCTATGCAGGCACGTTTATGAAATGCGCGGTCTTTGAGTGAACGTTGATCCTGTCTAGGTGGCAACATCATGTGTTCTGCTGGATTGCTACTTCTGGCACGATGTCTCCATCTCAAGCGCCTATGGGGTAAGTATTGAATTATTCATTCGGTGAATGGCACAACACTCGGCTCCGAGGCCCACCGAACCAAGGGAAAGCAAACGAAGAAGAGATGAGACGCGTAATATATCATAGATGATACAAAGACTATGGCTTCCTAAATATCATAAGGACTGATATCGATATATTTGGATTAGGTCAACTCAAGAAGACAAACAGCCTCAGATCTACCTGTACATTAACATATTAGTGAGTGGTTTCTACTATACACTCTAAACGTATTACTAGTCGAAACGTTGACATCTGGCAATTCAAATCGCAAGGAACCAGAGTCACCGAAGGCACTAGGTTTCGTTACGTTCCGTCACTAACGCGGGAAGCTCAAATTCGTATGACAGCAGTCGACAGCTCAACAGTGAGTCAGTTACTATGACGCACGGCCGCCACTATACCTTTGACCTTCCGTCATCATTCTCTCGCCTTTGGCCGAAACCCACCGCCACGCCTTTTTGCAATAGCTGATGACGAGTTTTCTACAGAAGTTGATGCATCTGATGGTTGCTTCATTCACCAGAACAATCATGAGTAAGGGTAACACGGAGTCTTTGAGGTTGTCACGCCCAAACGCGGTTGAAGCCACTTTGCCTCATTCCTTAGGGGAATTGCACTTGGCATTACGATGCACGCTCACATGAAACACGGATTTCTGGCGGATTCCAGGCGACGAATAGCACTGGTGAAGCGGGGATTCTAGTATAGGCTCATCAAGAGAGTTTACAATCAAGTTTTTTCATTATTGGCATATCTATACGTCTATCCCAGTCCGTCAGCATGAATGAATGCAATAGGGAGGCACGATGACACCTCTGCTTATGTTGGGAAAGAACCGAGAGTGAACAGGGTCTGCTTCTGCTTCCCCTTCCCCTTCTTCCCCTTTCCACTAGCAGTCTCTTCGGCAACATTCTGTTCTTCCGGTATCGGAGTACCGCCCCCGCTTGCCGTGCCACTGCTTTTCCAAGCAGCAACGGTCGGAGCAGTTTCACCAAGAATGTTTCGTAGAGACTGATTCCCGCTGACTAGTGGTTTCATACGAGAGTTACCAGACGAAGGCAACACTGGAAAAGCAGCAGATGTAAGCGACGGTGGCGGCGGACCTTTCTTCGCAACAGCGCGTTGCTGTATTACAGGGGTTTGTACCGATTTCGGTGCTCGGGAACCTGTGCTAGAAGATCCAGATCCAGAAGCCCACGGGGTGTTCCGCTGTTGTTGACGGAACGCAGGCTGCGGCTGAGAGGGACCTGTCAGAACCGGGAAACTATCTGGCGGTCGTGGTATTGGAGTAGGAGCGGAGCCAATGCGAGATGAGGAAGATCCAGCCGCCTGTGCAACACGATCCCACACTTGTCTCGAAGATTGTGACGAAGATCGCGCGGCGGTAGCATGCTTGACGTTCAAGACGCGACCGGATGCGATACCAGCATAGCCTGACCCTACTTCCTGAGGTACTAGATCAGGAAACTGCTGACGTTGCTGCGATCTCACTGTCAGATCCACCGCAGTACAGATATAGGGGTCAGTAAAATACCTCGATTTTGAATCCGTTCCAAGAGGAGAGCAGATTAGACTTCTTCTCTTCTTCGTCAAATAAGTCGACGATAGCATTGACAATACCCGCAGTGTCATCTAAATTCCTATCAAGAACGTTCCATATTGTCGAGATGAGATCACGGGCGGTAGATTCATTGAATCGGAATCCTCGGACAGCAGCTTTAGCAGCGAGCACTGCAGTGGTAGGGTTTGGCGCAACAGATTGTAACCTTGAAATGAATGCCGCATGACGCCTGTAACGGTGTGAGAATAAATCTTGGAGATCCTGACAATACTCTTACTGAGCTACAACAGGATCGACGTCTTCCCCGTTTCGCTGAGGGGATGGCGAAGCTCGTCGGCTAGGTCCAGCCGATTGCGGCGTTTGCGCTCCATTAGGTGCAGGAGAGCTGGTAGTAGTCAGATGGCCACCGAATGCTTCCCTGCGTCTTGCCACTGCCCTAGGCTGCGCAGCAGGCGGCGGCTCATGTTCTCGATCTCGTTCCCGGTCCCGTCTCCCCCTACGCCCACCACCAGCATCCCCAAATTCAAACTCTGCCTCAACTCGCTGAGTATTCTTCTTATCTCTTGAAGTCATCTCTGCACCGTGCACTTCGACCTGATGCGCCTTGAGATCGATCGCAGATCCAAACACCACAAATTTTTGAGCCTGACAGGCAGGTTTTGAACACGCAAAATGCCCTTGATTAAAATGTTGTTCCTGCCGAGGGAATCATGAATTACTACGAGCGTCAATGTCAATGCAGTCAAAAAGATCCTACAAGGGCCTCATAATCTTGAAAGCTGGATAAAACAAGCGACCCCGCATTAGCATAAACCATCAGCGTACAAACGACAAAAAAACTAACTATTGATCCCGTATTTCATTCCGTTTGCAAATGAAGCACTCCTCGTGTCGTTCGCGCATATGAACATACAACTCATCATCACTGAAAAAACATTCTTTGCAGAAGCTGCATAATGGATGTACGCCGCCTTCAATCGGCTCTTTTGTCACTTGTTTATGAGACCGATGCGGCATAGATGGCAAGTGTAAAGGTAGAACGTTGGGGAAGTACAAAGCGTGCTCGTGACTGAAAACCTTCTTGAATCGGATACACAGGTCACTTTCAAGGACATGAGAGGTCTGTACTTGGTTCATAAGCTTACATATCTGATGCACGTACCACATCATCTTTCCGTGCGTACCCCGGACGTGTAATTTAAGATCACCCCATCCAGTCGCGGTATAATCGCACTGCGAGTCAGGACAATTGAAGCGTAGAAGAATAAGCGTCTCTTCCATCATATCAGTGGACTCGAAATAGATTAATAACTTGGAGTCTTTATGCGGGATCATGTCGGGGGTGTAAGAAGAAAAAAGCGCATCGGGGGAAGTCGTGAATATCACTGTCGTTTGAGGTTCCTAGTAAACGTCCCAGCGTCAAAATTCATAGATGGGACCAAGAAAAGATAGACCCCCCTTGCAAAATGTACAATCCAGCTTCTTATAAAGTGCTCTTAAGCGTAGAGCACAGACATGACATGTCCGGTGGTTGCACGCTGATACTGAGTAGTATTTGACGGGCTCTGCGCAGATCCAGCATACTTCTGTGGCTTCTGGAGCAGGCGCGACTTCGCTCTGAGTTGGCTGAGTAAGAACGGGGTCGGCTGGTGTGGCTGCACTTGGATCCTTGCGGCCTCGGGATTTACCACCGCCTCCGCGTTGACTGCCTTGGCCTCTGTGTCCGCCTCGTTTACCACGCCTGGCTGATGGAGAAGTCTGAATCTGGATCTGAGGCTGGCTAGCAGTTTCTGCAGACATGATTGTATGAGAAGGATTGAAGATTAGAGAAGGTTGCAAGGGTTGCGCTGAGTAACTGGCTTGCTCCACGAAACGTTTTATCTCCACGTGATCAAGTCATGTCCATTGATGGACGGTCCCGAACATTATAAGCGCTCGCAATCGTATCGATGATCCTCTACGTAAGTAGGAGGTATGCAAAGAAAGTCCTAACCTAGCAACGGATCATACAGAGCAATAAACCAACCAAACATAACATCAAATCGTGCACACAAGTGACGAAACCTATCACTCGACATCACTATCATCACGATCACGGCGGGTCTCACCAGTGAGCGGGGTCGTGACAAACCTACTCCTGCCTCCCCCATTCTTCACAGGTGACATCCCAGGTATCCCCAATGACGACACTGACCCCAACGCCGAAGTCGAAACCGAAGCCCTAGACCCGATCCCCAACGAATACATCATTGACATCGTCCGTTGACGTCCCAACCCCGGTGCAGCTCCAGATCCCACCCCAAGTCCAAGGGCTCCATACGCAGGCTGAGCTTGAGGTATCAACGCAGGCAACGGCATAGGAATTCTCAACTCTAGCTCTGCAAGCGAAAATAGTTGCTTCACCGAGGAGGAACGCCGCAATCGCGGAGAAGTCATCATAGAACCAAATGTAGGCGCTTGGCTTGGTGTAGGCGTGGATGAACGAGGGAGGAGGCTTGATGTCCATGCAGACCAGCTTTTGTCTTCCTCTGGTTCACTCTCCTCGTCAAGCTGAACCTGAAAGTCATGCACAGCCCGCTTAACAACCGCTACATCATGCTGTACATCCACCAATTTTTCCTCAAGCCTATCCCTAGCTCTCCTCACACCCTCGTCACGTCCATCAACAAAAGCCCGCATTTCTTCAAGGTCCAACTTCGAATCCGATGAAAGGGAAAGCGCGCCTGGGACGGTGAGGAGGGTCTCAAAACCGCGAATGGCGAGTGCTTCGTCTGTGATGCGGATTTCGAGCTCGACACGGACGTCTTCGGTGTAGTCGGATATGCGCTCTAGGGCGGTGCGAAGGAAGGATCTGGCAGAGTGAGAAGGTGTTGGTGTTAGTGTCGGCGGGGAGGCGATGGCGATGGGGGGGAGCAAGCGTTTAAGGTCTTTGAGCGCGAGAGAGCAATCGCGGAATGCGTGTTGGAGGGTGTCGTAGCGGTGGCTGACTTCGCTGAGGGAGGCCAATAAGGATGAGATTTCGTCTGGGATGGAGGGGGGTTGTGATGAGAGAATGATGTTGGTGATTAAGTTGTTGGGTTCATTAGCAGGAGCGACTGCTTGAGCTTCTGGACTTGTAGCAGCTGAAGTGAAGAAGACACCGGAATCCTCCTTTCTTTCCAGAAATTGGTTAGTGGGACTTTCTTCCTGTTTTGTGAGATTCGTTAGGAGAAGGGGTGGTGGGGTATCCTTAGTATCTGAAGTTCCATCGGTGTCAGGCTCTATGAGTGATTTATTGGCGGAAGCCAAAGACGTATGCGATTCGACAAAAGGCAGCAAAATACACGCCTCTTCCCCAGCAGGGATCTGCACCAGATCGAGGATTGATACTGCAGTACACCGACCTGGATCGGCGGGTAAATCGAGAAGCAGCCGCGAGGTACCAGGCGTGATCTCGCCTATGACGGGCAAAGGTGTACCTTTAGTGTCAGGTGTTTGAATGTGCAATTTGACTTCTTGAGTATCCAGCATTCTATCCATGTCAACAGGCTCCATAGGCAGCTCATTCGCGGGCACCAAAGGCGCGGGCAGTTCGGCAGACTGCGGTAAAGTATACACCTCTTTCGTAGCGGGGGTCTGCGTCAGATTGAGGATCGAGACAGCAGGCGACTGACTCGATTCGGTGGGTAAATCAAGAAGCAGCTGCGAAGTACCAGATGTGATGTCGCCTATGACGGGTGAGGACGTACCCCTGCTGTACTCCGCCGGGAGATTTAGAAGAGGTGTAGGTGTTTGTGGGCAAGCGAATGATAGATCCTGGGTAGGCGGGATATCGGTGCTTATGTCCTGTGCATAGGGTGCTTGTTCTGCAATATCAATGGGAGTTCCTTCGACTGAAATAGTCTGTTCGTGGGCAATCTCGTCAAGAGACCCCATGCCCAAGGAAATCCTCCGCTCAGCAGCTACTCTTCTCTCGACCTCCACCCCAACCTCTTCAGTCATTCTCATCACAGCGTCCTTAGCAAGAACCAACCTCCCAAACACACCAGTAACCAAACTCCCAGCTACTTCCGCATCCAGCGTCACCAAGAGACTTTCTGCATCTTTCACTGCCCGCTCAAAAGCTGCATACATTTGACTATCTGCGTCTGCGCAGCGGTGCATACCTTCTTGGGCTCTTCGAACCCATCGGCGTAGGGCTTCACTGAGCGCTTCTTCGCGTGCGAGAAGAGCAAGACGTAGTGCGACTTCCCTTCGCCGTCCATATGCTTCCCTGGTTACTTCTTCGCCGAGCTCTTCTAAGGCGTCACGAAGGCGTGCATTCTCGGCTATGTGAGCGTGCATTCGTGCTTCAGCGTCGTTGATCGTTGATTGGAGAGTGTGTTGGCTAGATGTGTGTCGTGTTTGGAGAGTCGTGAGTGTGGATTGAAGGGCATTAGTTTGAGACTGCGAGAATTTCCTGTGTGAAGCTCGAGTCTGTAGAAGCAATACATGTATGGGGTACGCACATGTATCGGGAAACCATCTTGGCTGCTGTGGTATCGTCTAGCTTTAGTGCTTCTAATTCTGACTGCGCTTTTGCGAGGTGAGCACGGTCATGAGCGGCTGTTTTACGCTCAGCATCGAGGATGTTCTCCAAATTTGTGATTTCATTGCGTAGCTGGGTGATGCTCGTTTCGCGTTTCTCGGTCTCGAAAGCAAATTCGGTCGTAAGGCGATGCAAGTTTGATTTGCCCTCATGGAGCCCTTCGACGAGGGTGAGAGAAGACGCAGACGCAGATGCGTTTTGCAGTACCGCGCCCCCATTACCAAGCGAGCTCTTCCTGCCATCCAAACTGCGTACGAGATCAGCATACTCGTGTACCACGAGCTCTATGAGCCTGCGTTCTTCCTCTGCAGCTTGGAGACGCGTTTCCAAGCTACGTTCGCGGACTTTACCTTCCTCTTCGCGTGCACGAACACTTGCTGCGAGTTTATACGCGCCTTCTGCGTTGTATCGGGCTTTTTGGGCTTCGGTGCGGGTGTTTACGAGTTCAGCTATCTTTTCTGCTAGTGCATGTTCTGTGAGATCGAGTTTCTCGGAAGAGCGTCTTAGGGCCAGAGTGAGTTCTTGGACGACGTGTGTGTCTGATTGAGAGTTGGGTAAGGGGTGAGCACGGAGGGTAGCTAGCTCAGATAAGAGCAAGGAATGTTGTGATTCGAGGAAATGTAAGCGGTCGTCTGTTTGGGCTGTTGCTAGAGTGTGACGCTGGAGTTTGAGAGCAGCTTGGTGTGCTTCATGCTAATGAATATGAATGGTCAGTACAGAGGTGTGTAAAATGAAAAGTACCTGAAATCGAGCTGCTGTTTGTCTGAGACTGGAGAGTTCGAGGACGAGTGGGTGCTCGTCGTCGAGCTCGTTCTGCTCGACGCTCATAGTCAGCGACGGATCCTAACGTTGCTGCAAGTCTATTTCGGGATCGGTATACAAACAAAATACAACAAGAATTGAGAATCAGATTTTGAAGGAGGCCCTTAACCACGCGACCCAGTCTAGACTCTCTCCCCTCGCTGTCAGGTGCGTTGAGCTCATTATATTTTGACATTTACTCAACGGCAGTCAAAAATTTAGTATGGCAGCTCACGCTGGTCCTCCTGGTCCTTCGAATTATTATCATTACCCTTACGGTAATGTGGCTACTGGGCCATTTCCTGGTCAATATCAGCGATATCAGGCTGCAGTACCAATGAATGGACACATTCACCGACCAATATTTCATCCTCACTACAATTATCATCATCCTCATCAGCCTGCTCATTATGTTCCGAGGTCTAGTTACTGGCAACAACATGGCCAGCAGCCGCTTTCTCCCTTACCAAAACAACTGTCAACTCTTCCTTCTCTTCAATCCAGCGGCGATCAGATCGGAAATCAAAATATAGAACCCGAGGAGACGCCTAATCCAACAACTTCGCCTCCTTCTTCACCCATGCCTAGCACAGATCCAAAACTAGGTGGTTGGGTCATTTGGTCAAAACGTCCCACAGATCCATCTACCGCTCCTGGTATCATCATATCACCTCTAGCTCATCCTCCTCGCGATGTCATTCAATATGCACTCGATATTCCAACCCCCCCTCCATCTCCTACACCCGTCATTATAGATCTATCAGCGCCAACCGTGCCTTCTGATCTCCCAGACAGTACAGAATCAAATACGACTCCTCCGCTTTCCACAGCATTTGATACACCTGTGCCCGGCTCACCGGATTCTACTAATACTTCACTTTCTCTTGCAAAGGCTCCCGAACAACCTGAAGAGAAGCCTTGGGAGGAGGCCACGTCATCCAACGCCGAACTAGAGCCTGAGCTATCATCCACTGATCACGTAGAGGCGCCTAAGCTATCCGAATCTGATACAGAACCTTTTACGTCTGCCGCTGCGCCTCCCTTATCTGATGCAGAGCCTTCTGCGGCTAACCCATCCGATGTAGATTCTTCTACCTCCACCCCATCTGCAGAAGCCTCCACGTCAGCCCCCAAACCCGCGCCCGCGCCAGCCCCAAAGCCCGCCGTATCATGGGCCTCTCTCCTCCGCAAACCCGGCCCCTCCAACCTCCCCGCATCCTCTGTCGTAGGCTTCTCCATCCCTGCCTCTCCCCCTCCCCCAAACCCCACCTCCCAAAAGACACCATTCCACCCCAAAAAGTCCGAGCTTCTGACCCTGCTCAACTCCGGTGGATCATCCGCAGCTCCCATGCGTATCAGGCCACGCGGCCTCGTCAACTCTGGTAACTTGTGCTTCGCTAACGCGGTGCTTCAGGTCCTTGTGTACTGTCCTCCATTCTGGCGCTTCTTTGCGGATCTCGGGCGCTTACTTGAGCCTACGGAGGAGTCCAAGACCCCGTTGGTCGATGCTACCATTCGGTTTGTAAGGGAGTTTATGCCAAAAGAGAGGGTGCCTGTGGAGGGCAAGGGCAAGGGTGTAGAGCGCTATGGATCAAATGGTCTTGTGCATGAGGAAGTGGATGAAGATATTATGGATTCGTTTATGCCGACTTATGTTCATGACGCTTTGAAGGAGAAGAAGAGGTTCGATCATATGCGCGTGGGTCCTATTTCCTACTTTTGTCGACTTCGATACTGAGTTGTATCGACAGGGCGGACATCAAGAAGATGCAGAAGAGTTCCTTGGATTCTACCTCGACACGCTCGAAGAAGAGCTCCTGACGCTCTCCTCGTCACTCGCTAACCCCAACCCAGTTCCAGCTCAGCAGAACCACAACGCTGCAGTGAACAACACGCAAGAAGAGGGCTGGCTCGAGGTGGGCAAGCGTAACCGCACCGTCCTCACGCGCTCTGTAAGGTCTCCCTTTCCTCCTTTTCATCAATACTCACCTTTCCTAGACAAAAACAGCTGACTCCCCCATGACCCGTATATTCGGCGGCAAATTCCGCTCCATCCTCCGCGTACCACACCAAAAAGACTCTGCCGTTGTTGAAGACTGGCGTAGTCTACGGTTAGACATCCAAGTTGGTCATTTTGCCACCCCTTCTAAGCTTATTCAAACTGACATTGACATAGCGCGACACAATCCACACAATCAAAGACGCCCTAACGCACATCTCCACCCCCCAGTCCGTACAAGTCACATCTGTAACCCGCCCAGGTGCCACCCTCGATGCAACTCAACAAGTATACATCGAATCCCTCCCTCTGATCCTCATCCTCCACCTCAAGCGGTTCTTATACGATGCTAATAAAGGGGGTGTTGCAAAGATTGGGAAACAGGTCGCGTTTGCGCCTGAGCTGGAGGTCGGGAGTGAGGTGATGGCACCTGGGAGGAAGGTGAATGGGACGAGGTATCGGTTGTTTGGAGGTGCGTCCGTATCTGTCTCGTTTTATCGGCACAAGTAACCTCACCGACTGACACAGCGCTCTATCATCACGGCCTCTCAGCCTCGGGCGGACACTACACCCTTGACGTCCTCCACCCCAACGTCGACATGTCAACTCCACCCACAAAACCGCGCGAGGGGTGGATACGCATCGACGATGAGCTGGTTTCGGATTTGAGAGCTGATGATGTGTTTGGGAGTGGGGGCGCAGAGAAGGATGAGACGATGAGGTGTGCGTATTTGTTGTTCTATAGGAGGGTTGGGGCGGGGAGGGTTTAAGGTCTTAGTCTAGTGGGGGTAGGTGGTATGTAGCGACGGCGTTAGATTTTGATCCTTTGAATGTGATGGGTTTCTTGTTTGGATACTTTTTTTGGCATTGAATGAGTATATATGCGCATGCATTATGTAATAATGTCCAATCGTTCCAATTCGTTGATGCTCCTAAGTTTACTTCGTGTGAAAAATTGACAGTCCCACCGGTGGCGTTTGCAGTCCTCGCTTGAGACTGCAAACGTGACACGTGACGACTCAGCCACAGCGCTCGCTTCCTTCCTGGGTTCGATTGCCAATCGCGCTCCACCTGGACTAGTGTACCGTGGATAACCGTTTTGGGAGTTATCCACCGTGGATATCCACCCTAGAGAATTTGGGGGTCAGTTATCCACCGGTGAGTAGGGTGGATATCCACCAGCGGCAAAACCGGCCCGGCGGAACCGTGCGCTGTAAAAATTTTCAATCCATGCGTGTTTTCGCAAAATTTCCGTTCATTCACCAATACTAAGTAAAGATACATCATGTAACAGCTATTCCATGTCCCAGTCTGCCTCCGTCAGGACCCTCTCTTGCACAGGGCTGCTTTCTGATGAAAGAATGACAGCATTTCTCGGTGCTACAGGTGCCAAACACTTATCAGCGAGCACATCAGCTAGTCTCCCAGAGTCGAGATTGATAATACCGGCAGCATCAAAACTTTTGCCATTGCAAGAATCCATTTTGCTTGAACCATCTTTTGCAATGTCCTCGGGGTTAGCACTGGTGACATTTGAGTTTGAGTCGTCGTCATCTTCATCAGGTCCTTCAAGTTCATCTGCAAAATCATTGTCGACATCAGACATTTCACTATCATCGCTGTCCTCCTTCGTTCGTTTGCGCTTGCTGCCGAAAATAGTTGAGGACATGTCTCGCCATTTTACAGTCGGTTTCTTGTTTGGAGGTGGTGCCTAGTAGTATCAAGATCTGTAAGTTGGAGATAGTGAATGGAAATATCAATGTACACTCACATTAGGATCATGTTTGTACCAACTACGAATTTGGACTGTCCTAACAAGTGTTTTCACCTGCTGCCGACTGCGAAGTGGTGAGTTGAGCCAAGTGAATGTTGAACCAGTCCGTTCATCAGCCATTGAATTGGGTACAAGGGCAAAAATTCGAACAGCGAGCCTCTAGTGAGTAGGTTAAGGTCAGTCTCGGGGCAATGTAGTTGCAGGTCTGACATACTGCAAGTGGCTGCGCATCATTGGAACGGTCTTTGTCGAGATAACTCCACCATTCATATGCCGTCTCATCAGTCCGAAGTTCACGATCGAAAGGGTAGGCCTTTTTCAGGTATTTTTTTATGAGGTCTTTCAACCAAGTGTTTGCCTCTGAGATACTGAGGTTTGCGATTGGAACCTTTCGTTTCTCATATTCGATTCGAAGCATTGAAAGCAAAAACTTGCCCATACGACGAACTGACTCTGGGAGCTCCTGGTCCTTGAGATGATTTGTTTGGCCTCCAATCTTGATACGAGCAATAGCTAGTGGGTTCAGGTCCTGGAGAACATCTGCCCCTCTGAATTCTTTAAATGATGTTTAAGTCAGTCAAACAATGAGTATCACATCTGCAGAAAACGTACGAGGATCAAGAAGAAAACCAGTTAAATACACATCACATGGGGCATCATTTACCATTTGATCGAAGCGGTAATTGACAGCACGTCGAATCTTCTCAGTGACCTCAGTTGGCAAGCCAGTGATGTCCTCGGTGATAATTTGATGTATTGTTGCTGTGACGGCGAGCCAGAAAAGATAAACATCTGACACAGTGGAGTGGGTAGACTCGAGGCATGTTATAGCCTTTGCAATTGGAGCAAGTACTGTGAGGAGTTGTCGAAGTTCAACTTCAAATTTGTCGGTAGTGAAACGACCTTCAATAAAGTAATTGTTGACTTCCTGCAGCATGCTTCTTAGTATCTCTCAAAACCATAGTCCTCCACACAACATACCGGTATGTTGATAACCTTTTCAGTGCACAATTGTTGGATAGGCTTGAGGCAACGACGAAGTGACTCTCCCGAATGATAAATGGTTCCAAAGCGTGTTTTCCCAACTGACACAAGTCCCCTCTTGATTTGTAAATCTTTACAACGACGACGGAGATGAGCACTGGCAATGTTTGAGTTCTTGAAGTACTTGATTGTCCGACATATCTTCTTGATCACCTTGGGTTAAAAGTCAGTAATTCAAATCAAAGAGTCCAAAGATTAGTGATCTCTTACTGGCCGAAAGAATTCAATGCTACCGATGTCTTTGCATAGCGAACTCATACGATGACACGAGTCGGGGAGAATGATGATCCAGCTAAATTCTTCCTGCAAGAGTGAACGAGCTAATGTTGTATTTCCAGTGTTGTCTGAAGCCACTCCACTGAAATGTTCAGCTCCAACCCGTAACATGACCTGTCAGCGGTGTTAGTCCGGAACCATCATTACGAGATTATAATAGCTCACCTTTCGCAGTACTTCATGTATCTTTGCCCCAGTATGCGATGCTTCAGACGACTCATCTCCTTCCATCAAAAAGACCCAATGCACTGGAGTGATCACATGTACGGTGTAAACAGACTGGGGCATTTTTGTGGTATTTCCATCAAATGTGATCGTAAGGTTGTCGCAGGTACGAAGGTGTTTCAATTGCAGATCTTCGATGCGAGCTGCCTCATTGGGGATTTGTGATTCGGTGAGTACTGCACAAGATGCTGGTTCGTAGTCAGGATTTCCGTGTTTCCACATTGTCTTCCATTCTTTTGAATCAACTTTTGTTGGCGGAATACCACCAATGCAGATGAGTTTCAAGACATCGAAGTCAAGTTGATCTTTGAGTGCTGCGATGCGTGCTTTACGTTGTGATGGATATATTGATTTTTGTTTCAGTAGAGCGCTAGGAGTTCCTCTTAATGAAACCGTGGAAGATGTAGGTGTGACATCAACAGGTTCACATTCAACACTTGGAACTGGTAGACTCTGGCCTTCAACGCGACCACCTAATGATTCCTTGGACATAGCAGTGCGAACACGATCCTGTAGTGTTGAATCGATTTTGTCCAGTTTTCCGCATTGCAATGCATGTCCAAATACTCGTGTCTTCCAGCGAGGTGCAGCCCATGTTGTAGCACATCCATATGCAGCTCCAGTGCACCGAACGATCATTTTTTTGGGGTCGCTTTTGAGGTATGTGTTGACAGACAGAAGATCCATCAGAGGGTCAACTTTTGCACCACCTTTCCCCTTTGCAGGTACCCTTTCAGCATCTGTGTATAGGTGCATGACAGACACGTCAGGCTCGACAGTCTTGCTCTTTTTCTTTTTCGATGGCTTTGCTCCATTGGCTGATGGTAACTGTAAGGTGAGTCAGTGATCTAGTTTCCTGCAAGCTAAGTAAATCTAATTCACAGCTTGTCCAGCTGCGAGAATGACCCCTTGTGCAGCTTTGAGAATGTTGTCCACCCACTTTTCAAGGATGATGTCACCTGGACATTTTTTTATCCATGTTTCCAAAACATCGACCATGGCCTCTGTTTCTGGACCTCGCTCGATGAGTTTCAGGCCATCAACACGATTACCAAACCTAATTTCTAACTCTCGGTTGACAGCACCAGCCTCGCCAATGTCTGCAGCCCATTCAGCATCCGGACTGAAGTCAGAGAATTTATACTTGGATTCCATTGCTCGTGGAACAGGAATGTCTGTTGGCAGTGCTTCAAGACATTGTCGCAGTTCAACTAGCTGATCTTTGAGATGTTGCTGCATGTAAGTTTTTTGGGGGATGAATATTAAATAACTCGAAGTTCACAATGTTCCATTCATTTTTTGCAACGATGTTCAACGGTAACCAAACAAACATTGCTTGTCATTGCGCGAAGTTCTGCCAAAATAAGTAGGCTTGCGATGCGGACTCGTAGTGTTTGATAATTAGGCTTTTTAAGTGTATTTAATGTTATTTAATGTAACCCTGGGCACATACACTGTTTTTTGAGTTATTCACATAATCCACCCTATTGATTTCGGCCTTGAGTTATCCACCTAGTTATCCACGTGGATAACTAGGTGGATATCCACGTGGGTGGATAACTCGATGGTTATCCACGGTACACTAACCTGGACCTCGACCACCGACGATCAGCACAACCAGCACGATCGGCATCCAAGACTCGTTGGCCGGACGAAAATTGGGCTGCGCCGACCAAGATGAGTTATGGGTCTCGCTGGTGGTGTAGGATCAGTGAGGTGAGTGTTGTTAGTATGAAGTTCTCGAAGGTATGCTCACCTTTTCTTCATCGTCTGATCGTGCATTCAGGTATGCAGCGCGTTATGTCGAGGCCGCGGTTCTTATTTGCAGGCTTCTCAATGTGCTGCCACAAGTTCAGGCCACAGATCTCCTGGTTCTTATTTGTACTAGGCTCCTCAATGCGCTGCCAAGTTCAGGTGCGCTGGAGAAGCCCGTGAGCGCTCCGTTCATGGTGCCAATAGGTATGTGCCGTCTTCGTCCGGCCCTCGAGACTCACCAAATCCCAGCACCAGGTACCAATGTGGGTTACAGGTGCGCTGGAGAAGCTCATGAGCACTCCGTTCATGATTGTAGGTATGTGCCGTCTCTGTCCGGCCCTCGAGACTCACCAAATCCCAGCACCGGGTACCAACGTGCTCCGTTCATGGTTACAGGCGCGCTGGAGAAGCTCATGAGTGCTCCGTTCATGATTATAGGTATGTGTAGTCTCCATCTGACCCTCGAGACTCACCAAATCCCAGCACCAGGTACCGACGTGCTCCGTTCATGGTTACAGGCGCGCTGGAGAAGCTCATGAGCACTCCGTTCATGGGTTGGAGACAAGACAACTAGATTATGTAGTGCATCATACTCGTGTGTACAGTAGTAGATTAGAAGAGAATGTATGGTTTATAAACTATTGCACAAATGCCCGAGTGAGATCTGTTCAACAATGTCCGAACGTGTCGTCAGAAGCTCGCGCCACTTCTTTGCGACAGCGTCGTCCTTGCTTGACAAGTAAGTCTTGCCACTTTTGGTGTAGCGAAAGGCACTGTGGGCTAGTGGGTGGTCGAGATTTCCACCAAAAAAGGTGCGTGCATCATTAGCGTCTCGGGCAGCAGCAGAGACCCGGTGCTCTGCAAGGCAGTTCAGGATCTGTTGGTAAGAAAAAACCTTGCCGTTCTCGTCACTAAATGCATGCCAGAATGAGGTGTTGTCTGGGTATCGCTGCCGTTCTTCGGCAATGAACTCAAAAGACAGGCAAGAGGTCAGATAGCACATGTGACTCGCTGAAGGTAAATCATACCTTCCAATTTCCCCATTCTACTCGAAGTGCATCCCATGCTGCAGTCTTGATGCCCTTTCCTTTCTTGTAGAACTCTCCCCAATACTTGACAGGGATTCCGCGACCATTTACAATGAGTAAGTTTGATTCCTCCCATTCTTCACACAGCCGGTTGACATCTTTGGAGAGGTGGATTGTAGGAGGTGATGGTACGGTTGTCCTGTCGTATAAAAACTGCTCTTGGCCAAGGTGCGCAATTCCAAGGTTTTCGGGGGGGATTATCTCTGGAGGCAGAGACATGGCAGATGTTGTCTGTGTGGTTGTGCGAGGTTTGAATGGCACATTGTTGCTGACAATGTGCGCTTGTGCGTGGGATTGGACGATTGTGTTATCACACCCAGGGCTCTCGCTGTGTAAAGTGCGTGCATCTTTTGATTGCATCAGTGTTTTCATATCGAGAATGTGCGATGTGAGGACACTGATGTGATTTTCAACATTACTGAGATCTTCTCGCACAGAAAACATGTTGGAATCTACTTTCCGCATACGAACAGCGAAAGCATCCTGTTGTGGATGCCCATCACGTCCGAATCCTTCAGCTTCGCTTGTGGCAGCAACTTGTTGGTGGCAGCTTTTTCGCTGCGTTATCGAAGGTGGTACACTCAAATCATGAGGCATACCAAACGCTGACAACACTGCATGTGCCTTTTTAACAATGATGTCGTGAGCTTAGCATGATATAGCATCACTTCTGCTCACCCATGCTGAATTTGCAGCTCGGTCATCATCCTGGAGTGCCCGTTGCGTGCGATTTGCGCTCTTCTTGCTTTCGTAAGTAATTGTTTGTTCTTCAATTCCAAACACCTCCTCAATCCTTCGTTTTGAAAGGGACTGGCGTGAGTTATGTTCCCCTCGTTTTCGTTTCAGCTTAGGCTTGAATAAACTTTGCCAAGCAGGAGAAATTAGATACACGAGCACTGATTCAGGGCACATGCCAGTGACACACCTCAGCCACTCGTCTCGGTCATTGGAAAACTGACGAAGCCTGTCCAACATCTCTGTGCGATTGCCACAGGTTGGCCTGCCATAGCTCTTGAGCTTCTTGTGTAAGTTAGCCTTTGTTGTCTTTGTTGTTCTGTTACGTTTTCATGAATTAAATCAAACATGTTGAAAGGGAGAGAAATGTGTGACGTGCACTGTCCAAGTGAAAGATTCCACTGCTTGTCCTGGCATGTACGTTTGACCAAGTACAGGCAGTTCGAGCTCTTCTGAGTTGACATTCTGATGTTTAGACATGGTGACACCATGAACTGTAACGTATTTATGTGTAAGTGTTGATGTTTAAATTCAGGGGGTTCAAGTTAGTTTGTTTCAGTGCCGGCAGAGCATTTCAATTCTCGATCACCTGGTCTGAACTCGAAGTTTTCTATCATGTCCTTACTACAAACTTTCAAAGGTGCTACTCTCTACTTTGCTGAGTCAAAACACATCAGTGTCGAGGCTGCTGAAGAGGACCAGACCGAGGAGGAGGAATCTCTCCTCAACAGCTTTGATGTTGATGACCGTGAAGCTGCTGGCACCCTTCAGTTCAGTACTACAAATGCTGGTGAGGACAATGTGAAAAAGAAGAAGCTCAAACACAGCATGGTACATCACAACCAGTTAGCATCTAGTTTGCAAGCAGCATCAGAGGGAGTAGTTATTGGTACGACACTCTCTGACTACCAGAGGTATGCTATGGACTGGCAAAATTATCTTATCTCACGTGCATGATCTCCCCAGATACTGGAATCAGTTTAAAGAGTTTTGTGTCACCATTGACAAAGTACAGGTTGCGAGCGAGATTGACAAGCTTTTTCCAGACCTTCCAGCCGAATTTCCAATGTGGATTGCACTATGGATCATGGATAAGTGAGTGCATCGAATGTTGCATTTATTTCATGCTAAGCTATGGAATTGAGATGTGATGAAAATGATATATGGACCGGGAAAGCAAAGGATCCCAGTGTTCCACGTGCGACATATGGCACAGCACAGAAGATGCGTGCCGCCATAAGTCACAAATTTGGCAGAGACTACCAGCTTGGAACGCAGCCGTGGTTGGAGCACCCAGCCGTGCTAGGGAAATTCATTGGAAACCCGTCACTTTCAGTGACCATTTCACAGTACATGGTCAGTCTTCGTCGACGAAAGGTATTGGACTTTACCATTGTGAAATTCAGCATGGGCACTGATTTCATGCTGTAGATACGAGCAGGTGAAGCAGTAATGAGTGCTCGTGCCATGGATGAACCTACCATGAAGAGGCTCTGGGAGTTTGCATGGTCCACGGACCGAAAGGAATTTGGCCCGATCTCGCGCAAACGAAAGGCAGAAAACCCATCTGAATGGGCTGGATTTTTGCTCCGCATGATGCTCTATTTACTCTACCTTCTCTCCATGCTTTGCCTGCTCCGCTACGACGAGGCTTTACGGATCACCTGGGCTGATGTCACATTCCAGGTTCAAGACTTACTGATAAAAAACCACTGGCTTGACGCAACTCCCGAACTTTTCACCTCTCAAGTCAGGTACCAACCCACACAGTTCCGAGTGAAGCTAGAATTGCCCTTTCGAAAGACACATCAGTATGGAGGTCAGTGACTGTATGGGCTGTTGCCCACCTTATGGCTAACCTCGAACACACAGGCATAGCCCCATTCTACATATATGCTGATCCTGACCGGCCATGGATGTGCTTGCTGCGAGCATTTGCTATCTGGTGGCTGTTAGCACATGAGAGACACGAAGACCTCAATGGGTTCATCTTTCGCAAAAAGATTGGTGTAGATGGCATCAGCGTGAGCCCAACAGATTGCATGGTGAGCTCGAGGTCTGTAGACATCAAGAGAATCAGGTTGACATGCTATACTCAGACCTCAGACTCCTTTCTCGAATGCTTCCGAAATAATCTCCTCGACATTAGTGTTGATCCGCGTCCATATGGTACCCACTCGTTTTGTCGGGGCGGGTGTCAGTTTCTGCACACAGTGCGAGGCTGGTCGTTTCGGAAGATATGTGACTGGGGTGGGTGGGCCGAGAATTTCGACAACCCTGGTACCATATTCAAGTACCTCTTATCTTGGAATGACAATCCAGCAGAGGCTCGCGAACACTACATGAATCCAAACAGACCAGGGTGTGACCCCTGCTATAGCTGCGGAAGAACTTGTCATTGTGGTTAAATAAATACTTGCAATACATATCTTGTCTTTGTGTTTCAACTGTCAGAATTGAGGGAAAAGTGAAATCAGAATGAGAAAAACATATGAGACAGCTTCGAAGAACGAAATACAAGTACAGTAGGTTGAAAAAACGACACAAGTGCATCAGAGAGTAAGATCAATTAAGTCACAACTAACACCAGTGCGGCAGAGTGCTGCATTGTCCTCATCTTGAGTGAGGTCCATGACATCACTGATCGCTGCTGCCTCGTCGTCATCGTCGTCGTCGTGTGTGAGATCAATGACAGTTGCAGAAGAGAGAGTAGCATTTGAGGTGCTGGGATGATTTGGAGATGGCAGGATCATTGTCTGCACCCAGGAATCGTAAATTTTGTCAGCAAGCCAAACTCGAACAAATTTGTGAGATCTCGGTGCATGATCCTCACAATGAGAGCATCCAGGCGAATCCTCGAGCAACTGGAGCGTGGACCGCTCGAGGTCATGAGTGGGCACATCATTATTGTGCCCTGGAACACCTGCAAGGGCTTTCTTTGGGCGCACAGTGTGGCTCCGAAACACTGCCCTTGTGCAGGCCGGAGCAAGAGCAATCTGTATCTGACATCCGTCAGAATATTCAAGTGCAAAGGAGAACAGCAACAAACCTCGTCACTTGCAGGAGAATTATTAGCAAGATCCTCGAGGACTTCGTGCAAGACCACAACAGGCCAGATCGTTGAGCGAAAGGTGCTGACAACCTTCTTTGATTCCCAGCCAAGAAGTTGTTGAACAAGTGAGGCAAGTGGAGCAATGTCAGGCGGGGCAGGGGATTGGAGAATGGGCAGCTTGGTGATCGGAGTGACAGCAGGCTGCGCATACAAGTTGATGATGCATGGATCAGGGAACGAATCAGGGAGTGAGCGGGCGAGAGCAGGGTGAGAACGTCCCATTTTTCCAGTGGGATCATCTGTTACAATAACATGTAACCGAAGACCCCTCCTACGGAGGTCATCATGACCTTAGCCCCTATCCCACCATATGCACCGTCTTGGAAGACTTACCGACTCAACGGAGACTCGTAGAGACGCCTAGAACGGCCTGAATGCCGTTAGATGACCTAGACCAGCCTAGGCAACATCTGGACGGACCGAGATGGTCCTCGACCCGGATCATAGGGAAGCTCTGCCTCATGGTCAGAAGAGAAGCCGCATGCCGCAGCATGCGCAGTTAAACTACAAAGGCATGTTTAGCCTTGAGGACTAATAGAAGAGGCATGCAACGCCTCATGCATAGATAATCGCCCGCATGGCATCAGATAAGATGCCCTTGTATAGACACACTCATACTTACCTACCGAACGTAGTATTGGTCTGTGCACACGGACGACAGTATATAAAGCAGACAGAATCATGTATATTCCCTACTTGATTCTACTAGGTTTTCATCAGAACTTCCTCTGTGTGATCATCCCAATCACCCAGTCTAAAGCCGCACCTAAAGGAAAGCCGACGCTACCTTTAGTGGAACCCCCGAACCTCTCATTCGAGAGAAGATCCCCATCTCTCCAGTAGCGAGCCCGCTATCAGATTAGGCAATCCGCCTAGGGAGAGCTCGACCTATCCTAGTCGTAACATCATCCACAAGATGATACCGAGCGGTGTCCCGCCATTGTTGCAGAGGCCCATCGAGGTTGTTGCCACATACAGCGGCACGAAGCACACCAGCATCCACACAGCGAGCTAGGCCCAGTGCTGTCTCACGGCCACAGCCTGGCAGGCCCTTCTAGAAGCAGGTCTCATCAGCCTGGCTGACAACAAGCTGGTTTGGTTTACCTTATCATAGTCGCCGCCGCAGCAGATGGCAAGGGTGAGGAATCCATCGTCAGTAAGATGGCGGTCCACGTGCTCCTGAATGGCACTCGTTGTATACAATTTGACAGTCAAATCTATTGAGAATGTCGAGCTTCAAAAGAGTCAGCAGAGCATGCAAAAGAGAACATGAGAGATCTTACTTGCGCAGGACAGTCTGAGCACCAAAAACAAATGTGTCACTGTCATCTGTCATGACAGCATCAATAATACCAGCGCCGTTCATCAGCGCCAGCTGTGCCTCGGCTTCTCCAGCAGCCTGGATAGCCAGGATTGATATAGATGACAACGAAAAAAAGAAAAAAAACTCACCATGATCCACTGCACATTGAATGTATTCAGTAGGCGCTGGGTGGGCTTGACCATCCAATGGTCGTTGGTAGACACTCTGTGGCCCCGTTTGATTTGGGATCGCTGGTTGCCATCGAATACAAAAACCAATTGGACTGGGAGCCGGGCGAGTCGAGCGAGGCGAAACAAAAATGTTCGAAGGGCAGGATTCTGGCCTGTCTGAGCATGTGCACGGTGCCACCTGCCCTGCTGGCATTGTTCAAACCACGCACTAGAATCAAGAAGTTAGAATGTTTGCCATCAAACACAGTGAGCGAACACAAACCTTGCATCCACACCTACGATATAAGGCAAGTGTGGGGCAGGTCCCTCATAGCGGCCCCGGATGGCGAGAGAGACAAGGGGCACCATCATTGCAGCAGCCTCGAGCACCTGACAAATGATGGGGTGAGTTTCAGCACCTGCCGAGTGAACAGTGGGAATGTGCCTCCCACAGGTCGTTGATGCCCATGACGAGGAGTACACTGGAAATATAATTTAAGATCAGTAGGCTGACGAGCACGGCCGTTATGCGTGGAGGAGACGGGAGTCGAGCGAGAAGAGGAGGTACTCACTACTACTAGCGGCGTATGTGCGTACATAAGCGGTGGCAGTACCATGTATGGTATAGCAGCCAGCCGGGACTGTAAATCCGAGGACCATCAATCTGCAGCACATCAGCATGCAGCACGTTTTTTTGGCGGAAGGGAAGGATGTGTCGCCACCAAGACCGAAGCTGGACGCAAATGAAAAATTGACGGTCCTAATGTGCGAAATTTGCAGTCTCTCGGTTAGCATCTCGGCATTCTCCCACAGGTGGGTTGCATTGTGCTCACCCAGGACCCTCCACCCCATCCAGCAGCCGTCCAGAGCTCTTCTGTGGCTCAAAAACATCGATTTTCGCTGCCTACGGCATCCACGACCTGTCCGGTGCCCTCCCGCGCGTTTTCCGAGCCTATCTGCGGTTCGAACATCGCTGTCTGGGGTCGCGTCTTTTTCGACGTCACGGTTCACGTGCCGCGGTGGCGGTGCTCGCTTGGGTAAGCCCGTGCTGGACCGTCAATTTGTTCGTGATCAGCTCTACTTATGTCGAGCGTTTTACGACGGTTTTACGGTCACGTGATGCGTTCACGTGACTTTTAAATTCCGGCGCCCAGTTCCTTTTTCTGCGACGCGCGTCGTTTCTCGTCGTTGGTTGTTCTCGTTTTCAAACGCTCTCGACTTTCCGAGCGCTCGGCTCGAACGGATTGGACGAATGAATAGAATAATACATGAATCCGACTTTTTAAAACAACATTATAACAAAGCAAAACGACGGATACAAAGGGCAAAGTCTAGGGATCTAGGGATACAATTGTTGAGTTGCAGGGACAAACTGAGCACGCGGGGAGTGACGGTGCGTGAAATAAAATGCGAAAAAGATCGAAATGAGGGGGAAAATCAGAGTGTATGAACATGTGTGGTTCGTGAATCGTGGATGTGGGGGTATAGCCTTCAGCGGGAGGAGCATGCTCGGACTTCTGGGCGGCCGTTCTTGCTTGCTCGACCGGTGATTTCTCCGCGTCCCTCACGCTGGCGCTGGATGGCATCGAAAAGTGGCTTGACACCGCGGGTGGCCTCAGGGTATGCTTCCAGAAAAACTTGATGGTCCCGCTGCAGCCTGTTTGAGGAAGTGTTTGAGTTGCAAACAATTGGGTGCCGCTTCTGAACCTGCTGAAACGGCGTGAAGGCCACTCACCGGTAGAACTCGATAGCAATCACCTTGCGGATGTTCCGCTTCACGCCAGTGATTGTACGCATAGGGCCAGTGTACCACTCCTCCGGCCAATCTTTCAGTGCCTTGCCGCCAATGGATGCTGCAGGATCCTCCCACTGCTTTACAGCAGCTAGCCATGCCTCTTGTCCACGCGGGAGGTCTGGGATTCCGACGCCGGGGATGGGAGCCATCTTTTTTGCTGCACTGCGGCTATGCTGATGGCAGTCAGAGGGAGGCACCTGCAGCGCGGGGATGATGCGAGGAAAGGGAGAAGAAGCTGAGTCTACGGGAACCGGGCTGGGTATCGAAGAAGTTTCTGTGCTGCTCAGCAAAGAGGGTGGATTGGTGGCCTGATGGCACACGGTTGGTTGGACTGAGATTGGAGGTTGTGAAGGTGACGGCAAGAGTGAGGGATAAGGGGATGAGGCCGGAGACAGAGTTAGTTTGTCTAGGACTTCCTCGACTTTACCAGACAGGCGGTTCAGTTCGCGATCGAATGACATCTTGAGTTCGCGTGTTTCCGCTGCGGTGATGGGTGCTGTCAAAATGTGGTCACCGTTGAAGCTTTTGTCGCCTTCCCGAGGAATTGGGCACAGCGCGTCCCGGTGATTTTTCTCGTATCGGGTGAGCTCGTCCAGAAGGTACCGTATCAGCGTATCAACCTGTCCAAGTTGGGAATCAGTTCACGTTATAGATTAGCAGGCCAACTCACGCTTTCACCTTCAGCCCATGCACCCCACCAATGTATCGTAGATAGTGACCAGCGCTCTCCAAGGGGTGCGAACATAAACCGATACCTCGCACCACCTCAGCGGAAGCAATGGCTGGTGTACCTGGCTGTCAGCCCAGCCTCGGCGCAAATCCAGGTCAGCGTCTTCATGATAGCATCGTAGGACAGCTCGTCGGAAGGGTAGACGACACCATTTGCACCAACACGTGGAAAGATGTACTCTTCGGGTAGCAAGGGCCGTTGGAGAAGTACCTCCTCCAGGAAACTCACCCAAGCTCGCAGGTGTGTGAACATACAGATTTCGGGGGTCTTCGGCTGAGCGTAGACCTCGTACTCATGACCTGGTAGTCACAGAGTCAGCGCCCTCATCCGGCAACCCAATCGAAAAATAGATACCTTCGAGTGCACTGTCAATTTACCCCTTCCGCTGCCAGCCTTTACGGTTGACGAGGCTCACGAGGTCGAAGGGAATGCCATAGGGTGGGTGTCCCTGGCAGTTCCAAACAACGTCTTTCCGCTTGATTTTCGTCAGTTCAAAATTCCTGTGGTAAATGAGTGCATGCGTCAGTCCAGTCAGTCTGAGTCCCTGAGGCGATGAGGACATCTCGGACTTCGACTTTCCGCCCCATTCGCCACATATTACAGTGACCTATCTCCGTATAATACGAGGGAACGAACATGCATAATATCCTGTATGATACGGGCCAGCGGACCATGGGCCCATGATAAAAATATCCTCGACTATGACGGATGGGCCGGGAGGCAAATTATTCCTGATGGAGGCGGGTGGGCCCATGCAGGGAATATATAGAGTAGATGAGTGGGCCGATGTATATGAATATTAGGTAGACGGGTGGGCCGAGGTAGTTGGATATTATGCAGATGGGTGTATTAAGGTAGATGTGTATGAGATAGATGGGTAGGTACTTGTTATCACATTCACGGGTGGGCCCAGACACATATTAAATTAGACGGGTGGGCCGAGGGTATTATAAAATATTGTATTAGACGGGTAGGCCCAGACGCATATTAATTAGACAGGTGGGCCGAGGGTGTTGTATGGGATGTTGTATTAGATGGGTGGGCCGAGGGTGGTATAAAATATAGATGGGTGGGCCCATGTGTATCATAATTGTAGACATGATGGAGCTGAGGTAGTTGTACATCAACCAAATCAGAGGAGGTAATAAATCAAAGTTACCGAGTTCCCGGAGCAGCAGGTGATCTCCTGACATGGCCTTTGATGGTGCACAGGTTGTCTTGCAGAATTTGGAATCTGGGGTGCAAAGCTTGTGTTGCCCTACGAGACACCAAGTTCCGACCACCCAAATTTGGGTCAACCGTACCGACTTCTGAGTTCCAGGACCCGGGAGTCGACAAATGAATATCTGATAACCAGCACACTTCCAATCAGGTAGTATTTCATTGAGCAATGGATCATCCAAGGGGTCCCTTATCGGACTCGGTAGTCAATATAGGCAAATGATAATGAAAACATGAAAGTTGTTATTATGCTATTTTTCAAACCCGAGACCCTGAAACCCATTGTTCAACATGTCCATTTTTCACTCACTGCACAAATCACCGAGTTTCGAGTGCTGAAACCCAAAACTCAAAACCCGGTGTGCAACACATCGATTGTTCATTTACATTACACAGATCATCGAGTTCCGAGTGTTGAGCGCCGAAACCCGAAAATATGTATGGAACATGTCCATTTCTTACTCATTGCACATATCACCGAGTTTCGAGTGCCGAAACCCGAAACTCGAAACCCAGTGTGCATCATGTCCATTGTTCAATTATATTACACAAGTCATCGAGTTCCGAGTTCCGAGGGACGAAATCCAAACCCTGGACCCCAAAAATATGTGCGCAACATGTCCATTTTTCACTCACTGCACAAATCACTGAGTTTCGAGTGCCGAAGCATGAAACTTGAAACCCAGTGTGCAACATGTTGATTTTTCATTTATATCACACAAATAACCAAGTGCCAAGTGCCAAGTGCCGAAACCCGAAGCCCGAGACCCGAAAATATGTATGCAACATTTCCATTTTTCACTTGTTGCACAAATCACTGAGTTTCAAGTGCCGAAACCCAAAACTCAAAACCGGGTGTGCAATATGTTCATTGTTCATTTACATTACACAGATCATCGAGTTCCGAGTGCCGAGTGCCGAAACCCGAAGCCCGAGACCCGAAAATATGTACACAACATGTCCATTTTTCACTCACTGCACAAATCACCGAGTTTCGAGTGCCAAAGCGTGAAACTTGAAACCCAGTGTGCAACATGTTGATTTTTCATTTATATCACACAAATCATCGAGTTCCGAGTGCCGAGGGCCGAGACCCGAACCCCGAACCCCGAAAATATGTATGCAACATGTCCATTTTTCACTTGTTGCACAAATCACCGAGTTTCAAGTGCCAAAACTCAAAACTCAAAACCGGGTGTGCAACATGTCCATTTTTCAATTATATTACACAAGTCATTGAGTTCCGAGGGCCGAGGGCCGAAACCCGAACCCCGAACCCCGAAAATATGTACACAACATGTCCATTTTTCACTCATTGCACAAATCACCGAGTTTTGAGTGCCGAAACCCAAAACTCGAAACCCAGCATGCAACATGTCCATTTTTCATTTACATTACACAAATCATCGAGTTCCGAGTGCCGAGGGCCGAGACCCGAACCCCGAACCCCGAAAATATGTGCGCAACATGTCCATTTTTCACTTATTGCACAAATCACCAAGTTTTGAGTGCCAAAACCTGAAACTCGAAACCCGGTGTGCAACATGTCCATTTTTCATTTATATTACACAAATCATCGAGTTCCGAGTGCCGAGGGCCGAGACCCGAACCCCGAGACCCGAAAATATGTATGCAACATTTCCATTTTTCACTTGTTGCACAAATCACCGAGTTTCAAGTGCCGAAACCCAAAACTCAAAACCAGGTGTGCAACATGTCCATTTTTCAATTATATTACACAAGTCATTGAGTTCCGAGGGCCGAGGGCCGAAACCCGAACCCCCAAACCCCGAAAATATGTGCACAACATGTCCATTTTTTGCTCACTGCACACAGTCCACAATTTCGGGGTTTGGGGGTTTTAAATCAACCTTTCATATATCCATACACATTTTACCAACCCCCGAACCCCGAAATTGTGGACTGCCGGGTTTCGGGGTTCGGGGGTCCCGGAACTCGGAACTCGGTATGTAAGACAACAAAAATATCTTTCAGGGTTCGGGGGTTAGTGAAATGTTTATAGATATATGTAGGTTAATTCAAACATGTCTGAAAATTTTCATTCGTCTCAAATGTCAAATCCTGAGTTCCGGGCTTCGGGACTTGGCACCCGGCACCAGCACTCGGGGTTCAGGGTTCGGCACTGAAAATTTGACATTCAGGTGTTCGGGTTTCGGGTGATATCTAAATCAACAGCTTCGAGTTCTGCCAAAGCGTGAAACTTAAAACCCAGTGTGCAACATGTTGATTTTTCATTTATATCACACAAATCATCGAGTTCCGAGTGCCGAGGGCTGAGACCCGAAGCCCGAGACCCGAAAATATGTACACAACATGTCCATTTTTCACTCACTGCACAAATCACCGAGTTTCGAGTGCCAAAGCGTGAAACTTGAAACCCAGTGTGCAACATGTTGATTTTTCATTTATATCACACAAATAACCAAGTGCCGAGTGCCAAGTGCCGAAACCCGAAGCCCGAGACCCGAAAATATGTATATAACATTTCCATTTTTCACTTGTTGCACAAATCACTGAGTTTCAAGTGCTGAAACCCAAAACTCGAAACCTGGTGTGCAACATGTTCATTGTTCATTTACATTACACAGATCATCGAGTTCCGAGTGCCGAGGGCCGAAACCCGAAGCCTGAAACCCAAAATCATGTACACAACATGTCCATTTTTCACTCATTGCACAAATCACCAAGTGTCGAGTGTCGAAACCTGAAACCCGGTACTTCAAATGGACACGAATTGTATTTGTATGTATTATCCATTGGTGTAGGGTTCAAATAACTTGGGAATTGTATTTGTCAGCACTCGGTACTCGGTACTCAGTGATTGGTGGTCAGTGGTCGGTACTCGAGACTCAGTAGTCAATATAGGCAAATGATAATGAAAAATGACAGTTGTAGTCCACGTCAAGGTGAGTGTCTTGGTAGTCTTTCCTTGTCATTCGGCAAAACATCAGCAATAATGAAAAAATGAAAGTTGTTATTATGCTTAACTTCCTTACCGAAGGTTGTAGTCCAAGTCCAGGTGAGTGTAGTGATAGTCTTTTCTTGTCAATTGGTTATCTTGTTACTCATTACGCAGTACTCGGTACATGGTAATTGGTACTCAGTATTTGGTTTTGATACTCGGTACCCGGGAATCAGTAGTCAGCTTAATGAAGGTTGTAGTCCGAGTCTAGGTGAGTTTATTTGTAGTCTTTTCTCGTCCATTGGTTACCATGTGACCGAGATATAAGCTAAAGAAATCCGAAACATCAATAATGACAAATGAAATACATGTGTGCAGTAAGTGAGTCTAAAGATAAAAGAATGAATATTAATAGCGAGACTTGCACATTATGTCGAGATATCCAACATAACAAGCCTGTGATGTGATCAGAGACCTGGAATAACACCCATATACATCCATTATAATAGCTTAAAAGCTTAGAAAGATTCATGAAGGATTGATGTAATGATAGGCAAAATGACATATGTGTGGAGAGTGACAATAGACATCTTTTATACAAAGTCACATTTATATATGATTCAGGCCAAAAATATCATTACAAATATGTAGGATAGATCGTAAACTACCCAAGGAACCCATACTGCCTACTGCCCTGAGGGTAGGGGGTGGGTAGAAGGGATATAGTGAAAATATGAGTTGACCCAGCATTAAAGTCCTACCACTGCTCAACTAACCATTTTCGATGCTTTGGGTCTTTGAAGTTTCCCACACTCAATTTCTTACCCATTTCACTTCCTCAGTACTCAATTCTTGGTTGATTTGTCTGTAAATTTATGTCTATGATACTTAAGATATTTGAAATGTACCCCAGGTTTCTGATTATGAAGATTCAATGTTTTGAAGGCATGGGCCCCTTATCAGGCGAAATGGCAAGTATACACACTAGCTCACAAACTCCAGCCTATTGTGAGCTGATCTTGGTCATAAGAAGCAAGAATATAAGCTATGCTCATTATATATTAAAAGGTTGGATCATGGATGCAAGGGCAAGATACTGAAAATCGTGAAAAAATATCACAAGTGCAATTGTCTATGCTTTGTTCCTGGAAAAGGATCCTGTGTGTCCTGGGCTGGTTATATGATATATCTACTCCGAATATGCTCAGGAATAGACTCCCTACAGTCCTTGAGGTCCAGTCCTACAGGGAAAAAACCCCAGCAGGTGAACCACCAGAAGAGGGGGAGGTACACTATACAATAAAGGATTACCCTATGGTCCTGAGCTCCTGATACATTGTTTCTATTGTTGAATAGATGATTGAGATACTATTCACCTAGAAATGAACACATAGGAACATATTTTGTATTTTTATGTA